CACGTGACCTAGCCATCTTAGTCTATGTAACTTTATAGCCTCGTCGATTGATTTTCCCTCTTTGCCCAACACTCTACGCCTAACGTCAACATTACTTATCTTGTGAAACCACCTAACGTGAGACAGAGATCGCAGACATCTATGATCGAAAGCAGTCAACCTTTTCATGTCTTCAACGCGTATTGGCCATGTTTCAGAGCCATAGAGAAGGACGGAGCGAACTGATGAGCAGTACACACGTCCCTTGGTTGATAACCGGATGTCACGCCTACGCCAGAGATGGTGTAAGTCAGCGAAAGCAGCTCGAGCTTTTCGGATCCGTGCTGAGATTTCATCGCCAATCAGTCCGTTGGTGCTAATACAACTTCCCAAGTAGGTGAAGTGGTCAACATGTTCTATCACTTCACTCCCTATCACTAAGTTAGGGGTTGACGTGGTCCAGTCCTGTAGCAGCATCTTACATTTTGCAGGGGCGAATCGCATGCCAAACATACGAAGATTGCTGCTCAAGGTGTTCAGAAGACTCTGCATTTTGTCAGCATCCTCCCCTAACAGGACTATGTCATCTGCATATTCTAAGTCCATAAGATTATTCCCTGGTAACAAGTCGATTCCTAAGTCACTACGTTCAGTTAAGGATACTTCCATTAGCATATCTATGATGAAGTTAAACAGAAATGGGGAAAGTGGACATCCCTGTCGGACACCACTGGTTGTTACCAATTCAGATGACAATTCCCCATAAGCCCTTACACGACTACGTGAGTTTGAATAGAGTGCCTTGATTAGTGCAATGTACTTTCTTGGCACTCCCTTCACAGTCAGACATTGCCATAGTACCTTTCGATCCACGGAGTCGAAGGCCGCCTTCAAGTCAAGAAATATGACAATTGTTGGACGCCGAAAAGTGTGTCTATGTTCTAGAATCTGTCGAAGAGTGAAGATATGATCTATGCACCCTCTACCTGGTCTAAAGCCTGCTTGATTTTCCCTTGTCTGTTCCTCCCGAGTTCTGCTTAGTCTATGCATGATTACTGAGCCTAGGATTTTAGAGACTATGTTCGTTAGGCTGATCCCCCTATGATTATCACACGAGGACTTGTTTCCCTTCTTGAATATCGGTATAATAAGTGACTTACCCCAGTCTGATGGTACTGTCTCTGATTCCCAGACTTTGCCTAGTACCTCAGTTAATCTACAAACTAGTATGTCACCCCCATATTTAAACACCTCCGGAATAATTCCGTCGGGTCCTGCCGCTTTGCCTCGTTTCAAATTACTGATAGCTTTTGTAACCTCACCTACAGACGGCGGACCAGTGTCTATATCCCATTCGGGTACGTGGTGGATGGCGGGGAGGTTCAGTGTGGCTGTAGGCAAGTTAAATTGTTCCTCAAAGTGTTCTTTCCAGCGTTCAAGGCGTCTATCCTGAGAGCTAATTAAGGAGCCATTTTTCTCAGAAATAGTCTCACTTATGAATTGCCTTCTCCCACCCGATTCCCTGATGAGTCTAAAGAGTTGCCTATCGCCAATGCTTTTTCCATCTCTTTCGCCTTTGTCACCCACCACTGTTCACGGTCCTTGCGGAGACTTTTAGTAAGTTTCCTTTTGTGCAGCTTTCGCTCCTCATTGAATTCGGAGCTCGCCGGAATAAGTCTTCTAGCATCTATCAGTTCGGATGAGGCAGTCGAAATCCAGTGGTTTTTACTCACCTTTGGATTTGCCTTATTCACAGCTTTTACAGCTGTATCTATAGCTGACTGAATATTCTTCCAGGCTTCTCCAGGGTGAGCACAGCTGTCGAATTCAGATATGCGTTTAGCTAGTTCTTCCTCAAATAGGGATTTAGTTTCCTGATCGAGCTGGGGACGTGATGGTTTTACCGCCAGCTGTTTCCTACGTCCGTTCAGTCGTAAGCACACACGAGCCCGGACCAGTGCGTGATCGGTATCTACACACGTGTTCCAGAAGGAGCGACAATCTCCTACCGACCCACGCCAACGATAGCTTATTGCTATGTGGTCTATTTGTGTCCAGCGTTGGTTTGATGATGGGGGTCGCCAGGTTAAACAGTGTCTCTCCTTGTGTTTAAAGTTAGTGCTTACAAGAAACAAATGATTATCTGAACAGAACTGTAGGAGACGGTCACCGTTGTCGGTTCGCTGGCACGGAACTCCATAGGTGCCACCGACATCCTTCTCAGATTGACACAATTTCCCTACTTGAGCGTTAAAGTCACCAGCTAGAACGACTATATCTGAGCGTTTAGCCTTTCTCACCAAACTAGACAGCTTTTGGTAGAACTCATCCTTCGTTTCATCCGAACTGCAGTCAGTGGGGGCGTAGGCGGAGATTACGAAAAGGCATCGGCGAGTAGTGCAGTCCTTTCTCCTTCTTACTGATCCGTTCAGACGGACAGCACACATTCGGCTATCTACCGGGATCCAGTCAAGCAATGTCTTTTCTGCCCTAGTACTCAAAGCTATCCCTACGCCAGCTAATCCTCGTGAACTAGCTGTGGCATCTCCTGACACCCTCAAGGTGAATTTTGAAGATTCATCCTGTTGGCCAGGTGGGGTTAGGTGAATAACCACACTTGGGTCTTGTATGCGTGTTTCTGAAACACAACATACATCAATGGCTCGGGATGCCAGGGTCTTAGCTAGTGATGCTTGTTGTCCTATTTGGCAAAGTGTCCTAACATTAAATGCTCCTATATGAAATTGGTGGCGTGGCTTTAGGAGACTATCGGTGGTTTTTTGGCTTTCGTCGTTTTTAGTGGACACAGAGTGAAGAGGGAGTGAGGAGCCATCAAGTAGAGGAGTTGCATCAGTGGGAGGAAGGCAAGGTAATAGAGATGAAGATGAAGACAAAGATAAGTGAGGATTAGAGAGGTTTTGTGTGCATTTCGGATTGTGAGGGCGTTTGTTACTTCCCGGCTGCCCACACCGTGGAAGTTGGTTGCGTGACCGCAGAGCCCAGGGGACAACTGCTTGAGGCCGGTCACACGCGGCCTGTTTTTGTTTGTTCTCTTTTGTTTGGTGTGCCTCAGTAGCATACTTATCACTCCCGCCCTGTGACACGGCAGCAGGAAGCGCGGTCGTTGTTAATCCGGGCCACGGCCGATCCGGCATGAAATTTTGTGAATTTGTTTGAATCATGGTATTGGATGGGGTAGCTGCTTTTTGTTTAACCGCTATCCAAACAACCTGCCTGGCATGGTAGAACCTCAAGAGACATAAGTCTCAGCCAGTATAGCTTGATTAGGTCATTGCGGTGTTCAAGCCCGACCACCACGTCAAGGTAGCAGCTTTCGGTCGGGCATACTGCAGAGAACTGCTTCGCATGCACTCCATAGATTCAACCATATTTTGAGATTCTTACTTTTGGGAGGATGGCCTGGAGCTTTTTCTTATGTGTTTGCATAATCCCTTCTTCAAAGAGTCTATGGAGAACGGAAGACAACACTCCTTACAAAAGTCATTTAAGTAGGTGAGGAGTTAGTCGGAGTACCAGCACTCCACAGGGGTGTAGTTCCTCCTTGGTCTTTGAACTATTCTGCCATATTATTTGAGATGTTCCAGCTTTCTAGGTTATATTTCGTGCAGAACCATAGGAGATCGGGAGAACCCACAAAATTCGTCGACATACTATATGAGGAGGAAAGAGACAAGTACAGCAGTATGGGGTACACAAACACACATTCTTGTCTGAGTTGATCATGAGACTTTCGCTCTTCTATCTAAAAGGAGTCCCACTATCCATTTGAGCAGGCAGCACTTCACTCCATAACGTTCCAGTCCCATTAGCGATCTTGTGGGACAGGCTTTGTCGATAATCCAACTGAATTCCACGGAGACAGATGCTAGGTTTCTTATTATCTCTAAATCTGATCCGGATTTTCTCCCCTAACCTAAATAGTTTCTCAAAAACCACAATATCGGATAACATGTCGTTGTTTTCCAAATGTGAAAGGATTTCTATCACTTCTTCCAAACATCTTAACCCGAATTCCTGTGACTCTAATAACCCTGCAGTTTTAGGGAAACTGCCTAGATCCTCTTTTTATGTACAGAGATTACTACTGCATCATTCAAATCAACAGGAAACACTCCGTGTCAGTGGAATCAGCCGAAAACATAGTGCTCTATAGAGTATTATATAGACTCTACTGCTTTATTCTTAGTATTAAACAAGTATATTATTTGAAATATTTGGACTAAGCCAGTCCGTGTAGCAGTATGGCCTTATATAATACAAAACGTGAGATGCTAGAAGTGAATCAGAAGCAAACGTTTTCTGATCTACTTCTGTATCAACCCGATGAATGCTTTCTCACTCTAATACTGAATGAAGGAGGCTCGAATTAAGAGTTCCTTTAATGTCTTGAACTATTGTAGGACTTAAATTGTCTCCGACAAAGTTCAAAGGGAGACGATTGTGGTTTCACTCTGGTCACGTATTTACTTTAACAAAAATCAACCCAAATCTCTCATTTTAATCAAGTGAAAATCTACAAGATAATGGTATATACCACTGGTTCATATGAATAGCTGAATACCACTCACATCAAACAGTAGTTGTTTCCAGGCAGATCAAAGTGATCTAATGACTGCACAGTTATTTCATTTAACATCCAGCTGACTTCATCAGCACTGTAGTCTGTTCAACTTTACTCAGAGAGCTGAATCAGTTGAAAACACACTAACTCATAATACATCGAATAGAATTCTTCACAGGGAAATTATACAGTTCGGAAGTAAGAAGTATTCAGATCACAGAATGTGACCTGATGGATATCATAATACTGATTTATCGTTTTGCACACCCGTTGCATTATTTTATGTAATGCAATCATCTTTACATTTGTTGCGTTAGACCAGTAAGAACCACACATTATTCACCGTTTTTATATTATCGAATTGTCAGTCGATTGATCAAGAATTACACAATAAAGAAATTAATATACTTCGAGAGCAAAAAGAAAACGCCATATTTGAATGTGTCAAATTAAAAACACAGTTAGAAAAAAAGAATGTACGTCGAAACAGCTAAGAGAAAAAGTTGAAGAAATGCAAGTCTTAAATATGAAACACGACAATCAATTACGTGGACAAATGAGATCAGTGTTGATGAATTTAGAAATAGAACAAGCTGCTACGAAAGATGCATCTCTAGAGATTGAAAGGCTTAATGTTCAGCTGGATGTAAGTAAAGAATCCTGCTATGAGGTAAGTTGTAGTGGTATAATTGACTTGACCTTAATGGAGAAATGGTTTGTACATTATTTCACTATTTTTAAGTAGAATGATAGAATACTTTAGGTTGAAATAATTAATGTTGTCGATAACTTAAGTAGTCCATTAACACGCTATCAGTTTAATTTCCCATTTGAAGGCATCCCAGACTACTTCAAAGCATTAATTATGAAGTAAAACACCACAAATGCTCACTAGCTCCGGGTAGATGTTTCTCCTGCTAGACTACCATCAACAAACAAGTGTTCATATAATGTTTTTGGTATTTAAATATATGGTTACAGCTATCTTTCAGTTAATCAAGTACCACGCTATTAGATTCGTGATTGTCTCCAACTGATGCGTTTCAACGTAGATTTCATGATATACGAGCAATTTGGCGAAGGTTTGCACAAGTTTATTGGGTAGTTAAAACTTCAGAATATTCCAGATAGTGATATGAGATAATGTATGGTGTAATGTTACATAGATTTGTGGTTTTCAAGATGAAAAATATTTTTTTCACACAAAAAATGTACAGCATCACAAGAAGACCACTCATATACAGCACAAGTAGCTAAAGTCTTAAGTTGTATGTATTTGCCTCATCTCTTACGAACATGAATGGCTTCTTCGCTAAACTATCTCCATTTTTGTAGCTTGAAGCGAGATTCAATCAAGATACAGCTGTTTGGACAATCAAGGAGGATAATTACTTAGGGGGGGGGTTGCAGTTGAATGAAACAGCTGAAAGAGAAATAAATGAGTTGTTAGTAAATTCAAAATGTGATGTCAGTAAATCAAATACATCATCAATACACTACAACTTACATTCCAAACCATGTATCGCTGTTTTGCTGGAGAAAATAAGAAATCTCCTAATGGCAAACAATAATCTTCGAAGTAGACTGAAAACAAGTCACAAGAGATGGAGGTAATAACTTCATTTCTAAATAGTTTGAATTTATATGACATTTTGTGTTTCATTATATCAGCGATTGTCTTTCGGCGCAATACAGTTTTAATTATTGTACAAATTTGGAGTTTTGAAATTTTACTACCACTTTCGAATGCATAAATTGTATCGATTGTCTGCTTCTGATCCGTTTTTTACTCTAAACTGTATCAAAAATTACACAGAACTAGTCGTCCTAAAGTGAGACATTTTAGAGATGTGACCACTTATGAATTCATCATCATCTCTCAAAATTATACAGGAATCAAACCCTAGTCAAAAGATGCTAAGTGCAATGAAGTGTTTCAAACCGTTAAATTTTATTTCGTCCTTCCAGGTGAAACGATAATATAAATTTTTCTGAATAAAGAGTTCCCAAATTCAATCGCTCTGAGATGCGGTTTCACAATCTGCTATGGAAACAGTTCGAATTTAACTTAACATAAAGTAAACTAAATAACTCTGAACATACCAGCTGTTTCTTTGGCTGTACAATTTATAGGTAGTCAGTAACTTTGGGAACAGCATCTTCCTGTACACAAGGATTTCTGCTACACCTATTAGGTTAGAGCTAATGACTCTACCTAGTTGTCAAGGTGGAGTAGAATTCGAACAGAGCACTCATTGGCAGAAAGTCAGTGAACTGTCTTCACATAACAATTAAAAACATATGCGTAAAACTTGATCACTATGGTAGTATGCAATTCCATATTACTTTGTTTATTACAAATATCGCTAGCCAGACAAGCTACACCTCAATTCATGGCTAAGAACAAGAAACAATGACTTCATGGATGAATTCCATGTTGTAGCTTGATCATCTCTAATTCTTTTCCACCTCAATCATGTCAGGTGACACTTATCTGTGTAGAACAAGACCGAGGGTTCAAAATGCATTTGACAAAAGCGATCCATGTAACTCGATGTCTACTTCCCATCTAGCCCAATCAATGTACGTAGTAAGAGTCAATAGTGAATGTTGCACTACCTTGGTGCTTATTAGTTTCCAGACCGTAGATGTTACGAATTTTCTGTAATAATTCGAACGCCGAATCAGATTGAATCATTATAAATTTATTTAAAATAATCCGGTTTTCACATAGATACTGATAACCCTAGTCACGTGGAAGGCAATGCAATTCACTCATGTAGGTGCTTTGAAAGAATGCTCACCTTCCACAAAACTACTCTAATGAACTACAAGTTAAAACTACCTGCTGAACTTATTCCCCTGACATTCAAGTATGAAATGAATGCACAGAACATACGGCTACAATTGCATTCTCACACCATTGATTTCCTCTGATCTACGATGAAACAGCCCCCTCCTTCATCACCTGTTGTATCCTGCCAATCGACGATGAAGTTCTGACACCCAGCACCAGACTCCTCATTACAGCTTGTTTATCCTTCAGTGGGCGTGAGAAGTAAGACAACTGTAGCTAAGTTCAATACAGTTAACTTCATACTGGTCTTGAACAATGAGGAGTGACATGTGAACCTATGAAAATACCAACGGTTAGCACATAGAAACCTAAGGAATAGGAGCCGAATCTCCCTACTCCAATGGATATGGTACTAGTACACAATAAACGAAAAACACTAACGGGAATCGGCATGCACTCTTTATTTGCTCGCTCGATATCAATGTAAAGAGTAAGACAGCTTCTCACTGAAAACATGAGGTTTATTTTACCACGTTATACAAAATGATCGTTGAAGTATTCAAAGCTTTATAAAGTATTAAAGGGAGGCTTCTACATATCATTCTAAAAATAATAGTAATAATCTGATGTGCCTGTTTGTTCGGTTTATGTTTTTAGCCTCGTTTTATCACAAATGTTTTGCTCAGTTCCTTTCTGTCTTGGATATCGACCGAAGTGCTTTTCGTTTTGTCTATCTGTGAGGATGACTGATTATGTTTTTGGATTCCAGGAATATCTTATGTCACATTTACCGGTCTACTTGTTACATCTGCAACTTGGTCAGCGTCCAGAGAGTCCAGCTTTTCTTCTGCATAATTGTCTGAAATCACTGTGCAGTCGGGACGCCGATCCTCTATATTAGGAGTGCTACTTCTCCGCGGGCTTAATGCGAGCTCGTTCTTCTTCATAGAAAGATTTTTTCTGCTGAAAATGGGTGAAGTGTCCACTTCTGGGAACGGCGGTGGCGCCTCGTGAACACTGTGTTGTTCTTCTTCATCTGGATTCGACTCCGACGCTGATTTCATCGTCTTCACCAGACCACTGTTTGATTGCATCTAGATTTGTGGAGTAAAATATAAATAAGTATCAGGCGAACTAAACAAATGACAGTATTTAAGACAAGTATCACTGTATTTAGGTGGTCAGAGATACTGTCAATTTGTTGAATTTTGTAAGACTATCCTAACTCAACCTTTGTCATACAATTCTAACATTTCTCTGCTTTACCACCATCTTTACCTCCCATGCTTTCTCTCACGAGACCTTTTACAATACAAGTTAAACAAAGTGGAGTGATGGCAAGGATAAATTTTGTACCTTAATACCTTAGGAATAGGCTCATTCATCATTTTAGCTACTTAACATATGAAAGTTAACTGTGTATAGATATAGTTAACTTTCAATTTCAGAAAAGTCAGTAAATAAGTAGTGATTTGTAATGTCCAAAGTTTTAGTAACTGATAACTTGTTGTGTAATAAGTGGCTAAAATGATGAATGAGCCTATTTCTAAGGTATTAAGGTACAAAATTTATCCTTGCCATCACTCCACTTTGTTTAACTTGTATTGAAAAAGGTCTCGTGAGAGAAAGCATGGGAGGTAAAGATGGTGGTAAAGCAGAGAAATGTTAGAATTGTATGACAAAGGTTGAGTTAGGATAGTCTTACAAAATTCAACAAATTGACAGTATCTCTGACCACCTAAATACAGTGATACTTGTCTTAAATACTGTCATTTGTTTAGTTCGCCTGATACTTATTTATATTTTACTCCACAAATCTAGATGCAATCAAACAGTGGTCTGGTGAAGACGATGAAATCAGCGTCGGAGTCGAATCCAGATGAAGAAGAACAACACAGTGTTCACGAGGCGCCACCGCCGTTCCCAGAAGTGGACACTTCACCCATTTTCAGCAGAAAAAATTTTATGAAGAAAAACGAGCTCGCATTAAGCCCGCGGAGAATTAGTACTCCCAATATAGAGGATCGGCGTCCCGACTGCACAGTGATTTCAGACAATTATGCAGAAGAAAAGCTGGACTCTCTGGACGCTGACCAAGTTGCAGATGTAACAAGTAGACCGGTAAATGTGACATAAGATATTCCTGGAATCCAAAAACATAATCAGTCATCCTCACAGATAGACAAAACGAAAAGCACTTCGGTCGATATCCAAGACAGAAAGGAACTGAGCAAAACATTTGTGATAAAACGAGGCTAAAAACATAAACCGAACAAACAGGCACATCAGATTATTACTATTATTTTTAGAATGATATGTAGAAGCCTCCCTTTAATACTTTATAAAGCTTTGAATACTTCAACGATCATTTTGTATAACGTGGTAAAATAAACCTCATGTTTTCAGTGAGAAGCTGTCTTACTCTTTACATTGATATCGAGCGAGCAAATAAAGAGTGCATGCCGATTCCCGTTAGTGTTTTTCGTTTATTGTGTACTAGTACCATATCCATTGGAGTAGGGAGATTCGGCTCCTATTCTTTAGGTTTCTATGTGCTAACCGTTGGTATTTTCATAGGTTCACATGTCACTCCTCATTGTTCAAGACCAGTATGAAGTTAACTGTATTGAACTTAGCTACAGTTGTCTTACTTCTCACGCCCACTGAAGGATAAACAAGCTGTAATGAGGAGTCTGGTGCTGGGTGTCAGAACTTCATCGTCGATTGGCAGGATACAACAGGTGATGAAGGAGGGGGCTGTTTCATCGTAGATCAGAGGAAATCAATGGTGTGAGAATGCAATTGTAGCCGTATGTTCTGTGCATTCATTTCATACTTGAATGTCAGGGGAATAAGTTCAGCAGGTAGTTTAAACTTGTAGTTCATTAGAGTAGTTTTGTGGAAGGTGAGCATTCTTTCAAAGCACCTACATGAGTGAATTGCATTGCCTTCCACGTGACTAGGGTTATCAGTATCTATGTGAAAACCGGATTATTTTAAATAAATTTATAATGATTCAATCTGATTCGGCGTTCGAATTATTACAGAAAATTCGTAACATCTACGGTCTGGAAACTAATAAGCACCAAGGTAGTGCAACATTCACTATTGACTCTTACTACGTACATTGATTGGGCTAGGTAATGTGCGGACATCGACTGACAGAGATAGCATTTTCGTTCGCAATTCGAAGCAAATGAAAAAGACGGGATCTTTATTCTTCGACGTTGAACCATTATAGTCGAAACGACAGTGACTCAGAATAACCGATCAGAACGCAGATGCAAGAAAATTTGCAGAATTTTGGAGAAACACACCAGAAGATTTTGAAAAGTTGATATTACACCGCATAGCTCTATCGCATGTGTTGTAAGAATACCTCCCAGTCAATACACAGATGGTCTTAAGCGAAATCCTACAATGTGTGACATACCTGTTCATCCAGGTGACTGCAGGCCATGGCACTTAAAGTAGCTAGGCGAGGCAACGTATACAAACAATACAAAACAAAATAACACCATTACAAAAGCAGTGGTGAAACTGGGCTAAGTAAAAAGGAGAACGAGACACCACGATAAATTAAACAATTCGAGTAAAATCTTTGGGCCGAGATGATGTAGAAAAGTCAGTGTGAGGCTGACCAATTGCAAGTAGCTAGGTTGCACTTTAGGTAGACTTTAATTAACTGCACTTGCTAAAGACTTCTCTCAATACCCCAGTCGGTAATCCACCTAACTTGTAAGTACCATTTAATGAACTCGAAGCAAAACGGCTTACGTCATTTGGTAATGTGCCCTCCCCCTTATAAGAATTACAA